TAGTTCGATAGCGATCTCTCCTACTCTGCTACTCCTGTGTTACTCCTTTGCATCATAGTAGACAAAGGCCAGCTGCTTCGGAAGATGTGCTGGTTATTTGGAGAAATAGTCCGGTGCCTAGGGATACTAAGGCAGCAATAATTTAGATCAGGATTTTATATCCCAACGGGAGGAAATTACGAGGCAATCCAAGGGCGGAGTTAGGGGGGGCGACAACGATATTTGCGACTGGTATTTTTTCAACCTCAGTGGAACTTCTAAAATGTATCCTATTATTGCTCCTTAAATCCATTGTGTTCTATCCGGCCAATGCCAGCTTGAAAACAAAAACATAGAAAATGCTCAGAAATCCTCAAAAAGGCGATATTGTATTATATGAGAACAAAATAAAAAAAAACTTCATTGCTCTGTCAAGCGAAAAAAAATTCTGAGGGCCCCGAGACATATCCCAACCCATTCCACACAACATTAACATTATCGTATGGACGCTAGAAGAGAGGATGTCTATAGACCATCGTGTCTTGAGACCGTCTTCAGGCGTCCTATAGACAAATTGCGCAACGGGGTTTACTAGTGTGTACTAAGCTTAAGGATTAAGACTTTGATCTGCCCATTAAACAAAGCAAGTAATTGGTGCACATACTGACACAATCAAGCACTTCTATTATATCAGCACGTGATAAAAATATCAATAGGTATAGTCAATTATTTTTTGAAATTCAATATAGATGTTACAGTTATTCTTCAGACTTTCGTTGTCAAACGCAGACTTACGGCATAGTTGTTGTTTCCTTAGTTTTGAAATGTTGGATATCTTTGGAAAAAACTATATCTGTTAGATCGTAATTATTCCAAATCTATGTCCACTTCCAGTTATTCTATGTTCTAGTAATTGAAGCTCGGGATTGCACTTGAGCGAGACCTCAGTCTGCCATGTGGAGTAAATAAATGTGAAATTAATCATAAAAAGTGCGCTTTTGTATTAAAGCGACGAATCGTATCCAGTCTTAATCTGTATGTTATTTTTGAGATACGCTGTCTATCATTTAATTTATCCCGTTTCGAACCTGTAGAGCTGCTAGGCTGTCGCCGAACGTTCTCAGCGTAATCCTGGAGCGTATGTGAGGGCGCACGTCCGTCGGGAGACTGTAGACACGCGTGCCTCTAAGAGGATTCCAGCATCTCTGGAGACAATCCTAGATTTATGTCGGAGGCGTGCTACATCTCCAAACAGCTTTATCGAGCTATATTTTGATGTTTTCCGGACATGATTATCGCCCTGGTGTCCGCGAGAACCAACTCGTCTTTATTGTCTTTCTTCGAAGCATTGGCGGAGATTTCTAAGACGGGTTGGGTTGGTGTGGCTATGCCAATACAAGCTGCGGGTGATCACATTCATGTGCGAAAAATGGAGGTGTTAGTGCCACGTAGTTCGCCAATCGCGTCGCACTACGGTAGGATTATTAATAAAAAACTACATAATGTCAAAAAATCCGATAAAATGTCAACTTGTGCAAGTAGTTCATTTCGCGTTTGCTACAAGTGAACATGAAGTGAACGACAGCTAGTTCCAAATTGACGTCCTGCATAACATCATAGAATCCTACACAACGTAAAAAAACCGACATAATGTAAAAAAATCTATATAACCACAGTTTTCTGACAGTTCCTAATTTCAGAGTCCGCTCCTAAGAATCCGGGCGAGGTCGTCTACCACATAGCCAAACTAGCAAAGTGTTGCTTCAATTTTTTGGTAAAAGAACTGTTATGCAAAAAACCTATGAAGTAATGAAATTTGGCAACATCGCACAGTCCTTGAATAAAAACCTATTATATAGTAAAATAGTTCAGAACTTGCATGTTCGCGGTAGTACTGTGGTAGTACAGTACCATTTCTTTCATCCACACCCAAAAATCGTTTTTTCATCAAAAACGGCTGCTGTAGTTAAGGTAGCGAATCCTGGCTTGACATTGTATGAAAGGTAAATTTGCTTCCCGCAGCATATCTGTTCTAAAATGAGGTGTTTTAAACATTCTTGTAGCACAACTATACACCACCTCGTAGGATAAATGTTGAACTGTTGAATAAAGGTTTATACAACTATCTTATTTGGCATATTAGCTCGGTAGTCAAAATAGTTAGTATTCTGAGAACCATGGTAACATCTGTACAACAAAACCTAACCTTAGCACTTTAGCCAACAAGTTGCCCACAACGGAAGCATTTATACAACTGTCGTTTAGCAACTGTTAAGGGCTATACATTTGTAACAATATCACAACTTCATAGTGCTCTGCTCAGCATACATGTGTTGCTTGATATATACCCAATTTCACGGGTACCCATTATGGCATAATGACAGTTGGTTATCAAGTAATATTTCAAAATTCCCCATATCGCCAAAGGACACAATTCTGAAGGATTCGTCAATTCCAGGTAGACAGCCCAACTAACAATTATCACTCCTATTAGAGTTGCAAGAATGATTATACAGTATTCCTTAAACAGCATTGTATACTGTAAGAACGTTGGCAAAACCCTCTTAGAACAGCTATACAAGCGGAATGGGCACACCTTCACACACACACTTCAGTCATTTAAGAGGTTGTATAAGGGCTGCAGGTAACAGTTATAAAACAAAAGTGTAAGCCTCTTGCAGCCGCTATAGGACATTTGCGTCAGTGTAAGATTCAGTTTTTGTCAACTATACAACTATTCTGTTACGTGATTCTACTTTATTGCAACCAAACTATTTCTTATGTACTGTATAGACGAAGTGAAGAATATATAACTAGCACATTACAGTCATCTTGTTTACTTACATATCGGCCATTGTGAGTTTCATACACAGGTATATGATAAACTTCTACCCTGTGATATAGGGATATTGAATTACTTGCGCAGCAAATTTTATTGTGATTATCGTGCAAATTAGTTACCCAATTTCTACGGGCTTCGTATTTGATTCATATTTTGACAATGATCAAAAGTATGTCTAGATTTTGAAGATGGAAACCTGAACTTATCTGCGTTAAATCTTCCACAAATCCTATATTTAGACACAATTACACTAATGTTTATCTCTTTATATTTGTAATTTCGAACTGAAACATAATTATTTAATATTAGATAGAGGAATAAATGTTTGCCCAATATAGCGGGTGGTTGTGTGCAATCATGGCATCGTCCATGTTGTCTTTAGGTTATTAGAATATTTTGGTGTTGCCTGCAGGTGTTATAAAACAATTTGACAAATGTCTGAAATGAAATACCGACCGAGTCGAATGATTTACCCAGAATTTGTACCAGACCTATATCTTCTGTTTGAACAGTTGATAAAACCTTTTGAACCAATATGCATGCGTTGTTTGTCTTAAAACATTGGTTATGGCATTTTACAAAAATATGACAGCAGAAAGTTAGGTTATGGTGAAGTTGTTTACCAACATATTTAGCATATGTACAGCCTTTAACAGTTACTAAACAACAGTTGTATAAGTGCTTTCGTTGGGAGCAATTTGTTGGCTAAAGTAGTAAATTGCACAGCAAAACAACAAGGCTCGGGTTTGTTTTATAAACGTTACCATGGATGCCACAACACAACCATTTTGACTAACCTGCAAATATGCCATATAAAATAGTTGTATAAACGTTTATGCAACAGTTAAAAATTTACCCTATAAGATGTTGTATAACTATGCTATAAGAATATTTTAAACACCTCATTTTAGAGCAAATATGTTGCAGAAAGCAAATTTGTATTCCACACAACATTAAGCCAGCATTTTGGTGTTCAGGCAACAACGATAGACAGCTTTTATGGCTGAACGGTTCTTTTACCAAAAGCTTATACCACTACTTTGCTAGCAGAGAGAGCCATATTTTGTTTCGTTTTTTTGTACGCTACAGATTCATTTTGTACTTGCTAAAGGCTCTTTTATTTATGAAAGTTCATTTGCATACAAAAAACAAAACGCTACAAACAATTTTTTGCTAGATTTACACCCGATTCATTATTTCCAACTTTGCGGACTAACACAAAAATGTCTGTAGCTGATCAGATGTTCACGTCAGTAGACGTCAAAGCGTGATGGATACTCGTGAAATAGGGTGCAGGTATACAACTTCACCATAAGTTCGTGCTGTCATGTTTTTAGGGTAGGTGCCATAATCAATATTTTTCTTCTTCAAGACAAGCAATGCGTAAATATTTGTTTCAAAGGTTTTGTCATCTCTTTAAAAAGTTCTACTTCGTCCATATTTCATTTGTTGTTGCTTCATGCCTTTCGCACACCACAATACTCGTAGAGTACGGCTAGACCTATACAGTACTAAATGTTGCTAAAAATATGAAACAATGTATCCAACTTGATTAGAGCTAGGATCCACTTTTTACCAATGAAGCGCTGTGGCATTTGCTAAATACATACGAAATTATAAAGGAAACACTATTGTTATCACGTAGTATTTTGTTGTTGAGAGAAAAATCAAAATTAGATTACTATTAACTAGCTATTAATTATTTATAATACATATTAGCATTGCGCCTGAGAATATTCCCGTAGATCTCAATCATCTAATCTTTTTTTTTATACTCCAACCACCACGAAGGCCTAAGGCCTAAACACCAATGGGGTACCGTGGGGCTACAGGGGGATACAGGGGAAAAGGGGAATGCCATTAGGACGAAAAATCTTCCTCCATAGATAGACGCTCACAACGATCCTAGTGAGCAAACCTGGAATGACTGTTTGCGCCCTAAAAACTTTATAGGTTTTTTTGACGTTTTATAGGTTTTTTACATAATACCCTTGCCGATAAACTAATAATGAAATTAATAAATCAACATAAACAGTTCACTTAAATCGAAATCAAATAAGATGGTGAGCATAAAAATAACCAAAACGACAAGCTTCTGGCGTCAAAACCAAAACACAAAAACAAGTTTTCCAGTTTAAACATTTTATTTGCACCAAAATAAAATAAAAAATGATGAGTACAACAATTGAAACATTAAAAACCTGAATGTAATACTGAACTTTCTTTAAAGCTAAACTTAATTATTGTCACAAACGTTAGTCTCAGCGCCATTTAACATTTGACTATAACGGGAATAATAAACGATATGTATAAAAATGACCATAAACTCTATGGCCTCGAAATAAAAATACTAATAATCCCGAAGAAAAATAACTGTTAAAAATTCTTTCCATAAATCTGGTGTAAGGGAACTTAGGAATAATAGTTTTGGTAATCATTTTCCTGAAATAAGGTTTCGTGTTTTCCTGATCATATCTATTGGATGGCACCGTTTAGAAAAATCGATAAAGGGTAATCTCTATTATCGATTCACTACAAATCGATTATTGAGATTAAGAAAATCGTTTATAAAAGTCGATCATAAAAAAAATTACCGATTAATAGATTCCTTCTTAATATCCCTACTTCCATGGAGACATTAATAAAGAATGCAATTCCTGGAAAAGTAATAGAACTTCCTCCTCTTTCCATTAGTTGTTCCACTTTCCTGTTTTCAAAAAGTAACCTCTTGAGGAAAGCACTTGTTTCTTGCTGATAAATAAACTCGTAATAGTCAGATAACAAAGAGGTAGGACAATGTGTTTTGTCGACATTGTGTCGCAATTATTGGGAGAAACACAATGATATTATTTCAAGACTATAAAAAAAAAACGGATAACATATAGGGACGGTCAATGAAAAAGCTTGGTTGGAGATTATGTTCTCTAATGCCTCCTTTGGGTTTTCCAGTTGTCTGATATTGATATTGTACTAGTATCTACATTTCGGGCTTCTTACAACAGGAACTGAATAACCGACACTCATTGTCATTAATAATCTGAGCTAGATCCTTATCAAAGCCATCAGTTTTATCGTTCAGATAGTTTGTCATCATTCCACGCACTTTCTTTGTACATTCGTCGAGTTCTTCACGGGATGCACTGTTACAAAAACAACCATCAAGAGTTTGTTTTTGCTGGTCATTCTCATCCTTGAAATAAGCGCTGAACTTTTGGTACAAACGATCCCTAAAAAAGACATAGTTCAGGATTATGGAAAAAAGGAAGAACGTGTGCGTTTCGTTGTTACAAACATCATTTAAAAATTGGTGTATTCTCCACTCAAAACTTATGGCCTTCATCCTAAACATTTACAAAGATGTTTATAGTGATACGTGAGAACCACCCAATTGGTTTACTTGACTCCGTTTTTCCATAAAAACCTAACCTGACAATCCAGATAGCTTCGCATTTCGGATCTACCTCACATTTAGAAGTTGGACAACTATCCAAATTTTTTAATATTGTGTTAAATGTTTTTTCCTCTAATAGCTTAACGAATTCTTTGTATTCAGTTAAGGTTTGGTTTTCATCCTCCGGTGTGAACCTAGCTTTTGTACAGTCATCGGCCAGCTAAAAGTGAGCGATTTATCTATTATTATACTAAGTGACATATAAATCCGAACACCCAGTTTAAATCGTTTTATTTTAATAAAAGTTGGTGAATGTATTTATCTTACTGTAAATAACAAGTGAAAAAATTTTCAGCCTTATCAGTTGGACATTCCGGTTGTTATACTGCTTTTTTTTAATTCACTAACGCTCTAAAAATGAATATTTCAGCAGCAGTAAAGAATCAACGTTGGCGGATTTTGGTTCTTGACATCCTTTACGATCGGTTACGATGCCTAGAGTACGGAGACCTGTACGATTTCGTCAACTTAGTGAGTTTGATAGGGGCCGTATAGTGGGACTTTGGGAAGCTGGACTTTCTTTTCGGGCAATTGCAGTTAAAGTGCAAAGAAGTGTAGACACTGTGGTTAGGTGTTGTCAGGCATGGCTTCGAGAGGGCCGTACGCAAAGTGCAAGGGGCACTGGACGCCGCCGTAGAACAACAGACCGTGAAGATCGCCGCCTAAGATTATTGGCCTTAAGGGACCGTTTCTCCACTACCAGGTCCATTGCAAATGAATGGTTTGCAGAACACGGAAGACCTATTGGCATGCGAAGTGTTTACCGACGAATGAAAAGTTTTGGCTTGTTTTCATACCGGCCACACTGGGTCCTCCCTTTAACTCTAGAACACCGACGTAATCGCCTTGAGTGGTGCAGACAACGGTCACTCTGGGATCAGGAATGGAACAGTATTGTCTTTAATGACGAGTCTCGATTTTGTTTAGGCATGCACGATGGTCGTGCCAGGGTTAGAAGGCGACGTGGTGAAAGGAGGAATCCACAGTTTTTTGATGAAAGACATGTTCATCACACTGTTGGAGTTATGGTTTGGGGTGCTATAGCTTATGGTTCCAGGTCACCTTTAATCTTCATCAGAGGTAACATGAACCCGCAGCGTTATATCCACGAAGTTCTAGAACCCCATCTTTTACCCTATCTTGACACCCTGGCAGATCCAACTTTCCAACAAGATAATGCCCGACCACATGTTGCAAGAGTCACAATAGACTTCTTTCAACATAATGATGTCACATTGTTACCATGGCCACCAAGATCTCCCGACTTATCCCCAATTGAGCACGTGTGGGATATGGTGGGTAGGAGATTGCTCAATTTGCAACGTCCTCCTCAGACTCTAGAAGCACTTCGAGAGGAGTTGGTGGTTGCCTGGAATGAGATACCACAGGAGGACATTGACCACCTGATCAGAAGCATGCCTAGGCGCGTTGGAGAATGCGTAGCACATCAGGGTGCATCCACACATTATTAAAGGTCAAAGGGCTTTAAAGCAGCGCAATCATTTTGAAATTTTTATCATTTACTTATTATGCTTCATTAAGTACTTATACAAAATTTTATTAAAATAAAACCATTTAAACTGGGTGTTCGGATTTATATGTCACTTAGTATATAATTGAATAGTATCACGTTTTCAAATAGTCTGCTGAGACACTATCTATGTTCTCGTTCAGTCTCGTGCTAATTTCAGCGGCAGGGTAATTTGTTTTATACTCGTATATGCTATAGGAGATAATAATAGAACTATCACATTTATTCTTTCAAAGTTAAAAACAAATACAAATTCGTCGAATGTCCCAGCTAAGTGACTGCAGTCTGTTGACGGATCAAGCTGAACATTTTATCATTTTACTAGTAAGGGACACTGAACATACAGTACCGAGCAAAAGTAGAGAAACAAACCTCATTACAAATAACCCAGGAAGATTTACTCTACCCAAAACTGTACACTAAATTTTTTTATGTATGACTACCTCAAGATAATGAAATGCTCATCTTTGTATACATTCTTTTTTTTTTCAATATAATATGGTCGGTTTTTTGTAAACGGTAAACACTTCGCATGCCAATAGGTCTTCCGTGTTCTGCAAACCATTCATTTGCAATGGACCTGGTAGTGGAGAAACGGTCCCTTAAGGCCAATAATCTTAGGCGGCGATCTTCACGGTCTGTTGTTCTACGGCGGCGTCCAGTGCCCCTTGCTCTTTGCGTACGGCCTTCTCGAAGCCATGCCTGACAACACCTAACCACAGTGTCTACACTTCTTTGCACTCTAACTGCAATTGCCCGAAAAGAAAGTCCAGCTTCCCGAAGTCCCACTATACGGCCCCTATCAAACTCACTAAGTCGACGAAATCGTACAGGTCTCCGTACTCTAGGCATCGTAACCGATCGTAAAGGACGTCAAGAACCAAAATCCGTGAACGTTGATTCTTTACTGCGGCTGAAATATTCATTTTTAGAGCGTTAGTGAATTAAAAAAAGCAGTATAAAAACCGGAATGTCCAACTGATAAGGGTGAAAATTTTTTCACTTGTTATTTACAGTAAGATAAATACATTCACCAACTTTTATTAAACTAAAACCATTTAAACTGGGTGTTTTATATGTCACTTAGTATATATGCATTTTTGGCCAGGTTTTTTCGTTCCCGAATCTATGTATCTCAATGGGGTTCAAGGAGTTTCGACCCTCCAACCACAGTATCTCCAAATAAAGGCAGTAATCAAATCTCTCCCCCGTTTTCCTTTACAGCAATTAGCTTAATTATCCATCGTAATTTGCACATACACTTATGTTTATTTTGATCCTTTTTGCCATATTAACTAAACACCTACTAACATCAAAATGTTAGAAAGAAAGAGGACATTGTATCGTCCTTGTCCCTGTTCATTACCCTGCATTACTTCGTTCTAATTCTTCGACGTTTTGACACAGGTAAACATGTTTTTCTGGAACTGATATGTTTACATTTGGTCGCCGAGGTACAATACAGTTTTTGTAAGTCGACGGTCTGATCTATTTTTTACCCATTTTTACCAAAAATCGTAAATTCGGACAAGAGCAAGGTTTGTAAATGGCGTGAAGCGTGCGAGGCGGGCGCCTCGTGTTGTGGTAGCGATAGTAGCTGGTGTCACGTGACGTCATCACTCAGTCACACGCTCCAGCAGCGTATCTTTGTCATTTTTTAAGTTATTCAAAATAGTTTTTCAGTGCATTTAGACTATCATTTCAAGTATCTTTCAGAACATAGGATCCGATTTGTTGTTACACATTCATCAATCATGATTCAGTAATATGTACAGCACTTGATATCTTGACAAAGCAATATGATATACTCACGTCTGCAGATTGAAAGTATAACAAAATTAACAAATAAACTGCAAGTAACCTCATCTTGAGAGCAAATGATAACACTGAATACTCGTATAGTGTGGTTTCGCTCTCTATTATACGATGTATCGATGAGATAAGATTATCGCCTGATAAGCAATATTGGAAATAGTAAGTGCATGTATGAGTCACCTACCGGTTACATATTAAAACTCAACTATTCCAACCTGTATCTTGGCGTTTCTTGTTTCGTGGACGACAAGGATTGGTAGCGTAGTATAGTTTGATTTTATTTGGTGGTTCTGCCAATTTTTTGTGGATAAACCATTTTATCGGCATGCTCTAATCACGTCTAAATAAGAATTCCAGCACCTCCTACAGCAGAATCATTCTCAAGTGTCAACAGACACCATATTGTCAATACCAATTAAAAATATGCATACGACTCGAGCAGGCAAGTATCCCATTCCGTGCACAAAAAGTCAGCACACTAATTATGTTATAGGTGTAGTCATCGTTCTTGGTGGTTACATCATCAGCGCCATATGAAATAAGTAAACAGATCGAGTCTCCATACCATGCGCAGGTTAATCTTCAGCGCATCTATTACTATCTTCAGTACGCATGAAGTGGGTAACAGTCGAAAGCTATATTCATTCTCTTCCTCTCTAATAAATTTAGCACGAGCTGTCCGCCTTCTTCATTGATCGTATTTCTGGGCATTGTACAATTTTATATTGAAGATTGATAACACGATAACTCGAATTGCACGCCGATGTGAAGTAAGTTGGCACTATGACAAATATGATTGAAGGGCACTCATACGTAACAACAAAGTTTTCAAGACGGAGACAGAACTAAAAAACGTATGTCTTTGAGCTTACCGAACAAACGTTCACACACAGGGGTAGGTTGCATGTGTATGTATGAGGGAGATGGAGATATATAAAGAGATACTGGTAGTCTTACTTTGACCCGCAAAGAACGGTAACGACAACTTATACTACAGCTATAACTGTCAGATTGCAATTTCATACGTAAAATTGCGATTCCTTATGTCAGATTGAGATTTTTACGAAATTCATACTGCGTATTAGCTATCAGTGGTTTGTGTTAGATGTGTTTGTTGCATATTCTGCTTGCTTTGCTGGCCGTATCGAGTCCTTTCCGGCTCATAAACATCTCGTGCATCGAAATGGAATATTAAACAGCACTGAACCGGTAAATAAGATCCTTATTGCGCAGAAAAGCAGCTAATCGCGATCTTTAGATCGCTCACATTTGTCTGTTAGACCCTGTATCAAAATATACTCCATATAGTAGCCCACGAGTCTGCAACTCTCATTCCATGCTAGCGAAATATAGGTTTCAAAATGGCCGTTACGCAATTCGTCCATAGCGCGTGGGCTATCTAAATAGCCTAAAGTGTATTCAAACATCAGGCAGCAGCGGTGGCGGGAGTGGTAGACTCTTCGGTCTCCTGATCAGTCGCCGTGCGCTGCGCGGGTTCGAGTCCCGTCCCAAGATAATTTTTTTCCTGGCTATGGATGTTGCGATTGTCCATAGGTGGTAGACGGTCTCTGACTGCTGAACGCGGAGGTACCACCCGGCGGATCTCGTAAGCGGAGCCAGAATGTGCGGTGTGTGATCGCCAGAGTCCGAGTGGCCTCCCCCCTTTCTCCTGTATCCCCCATGGGTGTTTAAGCCTTAGGCTTTCGTGGTAGCTGGAGTATAAAAAAACAAACACACAATATGTGCACTCAATCGTTGCTTCTATTTGGTTGGCGCCTATATCACCAGACACTTATGGCCTATTGGCCAATAGAAGCACGCGAATTTGAGCCTTGCACGCTGGTGTTTGTTATTATGGCACGTAAATGAGATTTGAATACACTAAAAGGATTTTTTCGCGAGTCCACGGTGTAGCACAGTGCATTACCGGGAACCGATACTCAAATTTTCGCGAAGAACGGGAATAGGGGAAGGCGGATGTGACGTCGTCCGAATATCAACTAATCACGTGGTACGGCTAGATGGCCAACGTCTGTGAGGTACTAGCGGGTGACAGGTCTTATGTCAATGTCATTTAAAAAATAGGCATCTCAATTGAAAATTTGCCTTCGCAGTGCCGAAAATTGAGTTAAATTATTAAATCATAAGTGGAGGAACACGTCCACCTGATTTTACATGACGAGGGAAAAGATATATGAACCGCACTTGTCATATCAAATGATTGATTTTATTGATATATATGTACATTGCACAAAAAACGATCGGTCTTTTTATTTCAGATTCAAGGCAGCTAAGTTTATCAAGGAGCTCAAAGCAAACATTTTGGGCAACATGTGCCATCTAACTACTCCCGGTGTAACTTGAAACTGTCAAAACTTCGAGAGGAAGGCGAAATTCTATCTGTTCCCGCTCCGGTTCACTACGGGATCTCGCGAAAAAATCTCTTAAGTTGAGTTAGTTTTGCAAGTGAAACCATGTGACCCATTTACGTCTGTCTATCTGTCTTTCCGTAAGATCCTTGACCCCGCTATAACTTGGAAAATACCGATCGAAAGATAAAATTTTCACACCAGATTACTTCTATGCCAATAGACGGACAAGCTTCTGAAAATCGGTCCAGTGGCGGTGGCGTTAGGGGGAAAAACCAATATTAAAAATTGCTCAAACTTCTTTAACATTTTTGAAATTTTTTTAGCAGTAAAACAGTGTGTGGTGAGGGTTTGCAGAGGCTAGGGGAGGGTGTATTTCAATTTCTTACGTTGGTATACTTATACGCCTTAAGATGCGATAATTTATGCATTTATTAGACATACTTCACTCATCACATATTTCTTTGTGCATTTATCCTTAAAACTTAGAATGATGGAGAAATAGTTTCGATCCTCGCGTGTCAATCATACGCTTCTCAATCTATCATGCTAAATAACCAAATCTTAATTGTGTGAGCCTGTTTGACTAACTTGATCCATTTAATTTATTTGTAGCTAACTTTTTTCTTTGGGGTTCTAACCTGTGCAAAACATTATTTTTATAAATTATCACAGAGCTACATTAAACTCTGACTTGGAGTTTGCTGACATGAACCTAAGTGAGAATATAATTTTAAGCGGAGTTAAAGTCATCCAAGCTGTAAGTCAGGTCAAATCTCACTCTGCTGAGGTTGGTCTGATTATAATGGACTTGGTAAGAAATCTCACCTCATATAAACTGAGTTTTTTTAAAAATAACGTGAAGTAAGCTGAGCAAACTGAAGTAAGGTGAGCGTATCTGAGATTGTGTAAAACAAATGCAACTTGTAACGGCAGTATTATTAGAAAATCTTCTAGTTTGATTGGAATATGGAATTTGTGGATCTGAGTTGAGAACGGCCCAACTAACAATTATCACTCCTATTAGACTGGCAAGGATGATTATGCAGTATTCCTTAAATAGCATTGTATACTGTAAGAACATTGGCAAAACCCTCTTAGAACAGCTATACAAGAGGAATGGGCACACCTAATAGGACACTTCAGTCATTTAAGAGGTTAAATAAGGGCTGCAGGTAACAGTTGCAGCCGCTATAGGACATTTGCGTCAGTGCAAGATTCAGTTTTTGTCAACTATGCAACTATTCTGTTACGTGATTCTACTTTATTGCAACCAAACTATTTCTTATGTGTTATACAACAATTTGACAAATGTCTGAAATGAAATACCGACAGAGTCGAATGATTTACCCAGAATTTGTACCAGATCTATATCTTCTGTTTGAACAGTTGATAAAACCTTTTGAACCAATATGCATGCGTTGTTTGTCTTAAAACATTGATTATGGCATTTTACAAAAATATGACAGAAGAAAGTTAGGTTATGGTGAAGCTGTTTACCAACATATTTAGCATATGTACAGCCTTAAACAGTTACTAAACAACAGTTGTATAAGTGCTTCCGTTGGGAGCAATTTGTTGGCTAAAGTAGTAAATTGCACAGCAAAACAACAAGGCTCGGGTTTGTTTTACAAACGTTATCATGGATGCCACAACACAACCATTTTGACTAACGTGCAAATATGCCGTATAAAATAGTTCTATAAACGTTTATGCAACAGTTAAAAATTTGTCCTATAAGGTGTTGTATAACTATGCTATAAGAATATTTGAAACATTTCATTTTAGAGCAAATATGTTGCAGAAAGCAAATCTGCATTCCACACAAAATGAAGCCAACATTTTGGTGTTCAGGCAACAAGAATAGCGAGCTTTTATGGCTGAACGGTTCTTTTACCAAAAGCTTATACCACTAATTTGCTAGTTGGGGGGGAGCTCGATTTGGATTGGTCAATTGGGACTGCTTGATGTAACTGCTTTCGTGTAAGAGAGTGAATGGACATCTAGATCCCAGTTCTCCTTTACTCTCACAAGCTGTGCACATGTGTTCACCCTTAACGCCAAGGTCAATATATAGCTGGAGGATAAATAAGGCAATTATCTTTACAGCATAACGATGACTTGGTTTTTACTAAAGACAGTACGAGGCAGTCGTTAGGGCACATAGCAGATATTCGATCCTGCTTTTGAGGCTGTAGTGACGAAATGGCGGAGGTCCCCCTCAAACTCTACCCAGACGTTCCAGAAGTTAAGTTTCCGAAGTTATTATTAATAATTAGTACATTTCTATTGAGCGGTAATACCATTGGTGATGATTCGGTAATAGTTTGTACTTTTGCACTTTAACATTTACATTATACGATTAAATATAACTATTGAATTTACCGGGAATGCTTTTATTATATATTATATTTATTTATAACAACTAGCTCTTCGAAAAACCCTTGTAAGGTTGTCCTCAGCTGCTCTCTGCTAGTCACATACTAGTAGCACAGGTATTTCAATAGCAGTTGTCAGATTCCGATATTTTTACCCAATGCGCCTGCAGGAGCGATGCACTTCAGAAACTCTTGGGGTAATTGGTACTTCATTATCGGTATTCTTACTTGCACTAGATGCCTTTCCGAAATTCGTTTGGCTTGGAGAAATCAAATACATTGTGCCAATCAAACACATCTGCCTTCATTCGGAAACTACTATAAACAAATAGAACACAGCAACC